TTTTTGGCAAAACAAAAACCGGCAATTTGCTTTGAGATATTTAATCTGCGAAAAAAACAATTGGGTCACGTAAGCCTTCTCTATTAGTCATTATTGTTTTTTTTTGCTATTTGTAAATATTGATTTTAGAATATAATTAGTTTAAAAAAATCGTGAATGCTATTCAACGGATTGCAATTGATTCTTTGATTTATGTGAACAATTCAGCAAAACAACAAAACCTTTTGCTTGGGTTCAACTTTTTGGTCTTACTTAATTTGAAAATATTTTATGAACTTGAGCTTTCTGATTATGTAATACGACCGAGTATAAAATGAGGTTTTATTATTTCGTGGAAGTGATGACTATTATTTTTAATTTTGCTACTTTATACAACACAAAACTCGTAATACAAACAAGTTCTACATTTTAATTGTGAGCACTATAAACTGTTTTATTATATGTACTTAAATATACCAATTTCCGCATTTGGATAGAATATAAGCTTATATAATAGCAATAATTCGCATCTTTATTATAGCTTTTTCTATGAATCGATTGGTCATTTTATCTAATCTGTGGTTATTTACAATCATGTATAGTTCTTTTAATTTAAGCAATAACTTATTAATTAGTGACGCATTTTACACATCACATTTATTTCTAAAGTATGCATGTGATTAATGAAAAAATAACCTTTGAAACAATGCTATTAAACAAATTCATAGAACGGAATTATTATTTTCCTGAAGTTGTGTTTATATGATCACTGAGAGAATGAATAATTTTGTTTGCAAATACAATTTAACTTGAAAATAATTTTTATTACTAAATCAAATATTTGCAACAAATAACATTATTCGTAAAAACAAAGCCCATATAAAAACTAGCATAAACAAATATCGTATAGCAAAAATAACAAAGTTTGTGGAATCATCAGTTTTTTATAATTTTTATTACACATATTTTTACTGAGAAGGACAAGTAAAACTATCTGAAAAGGACAAGTAAGACTACAGGAATAAAAATAAAACCTCTAAAAGTACCAAAATACATCATCTGACCCTTGAAACTAATAATAATATATAGGGTAGAGTTGGGCTTTAAGATCAGCGGTTAAAATGGTCCACCACAAATTTCTCAAGTAAATTTGCATTTTTTTTTAACACAATATTTGATAGTAGAGGGAAAAGATATTATGAAAATTCATAACAAAAGTATTCTCTTTTCTGTTAGTTTTTTAGTTTGTGAGCACTATTGTTTAGTTTACGAGACCTTTAATATAATGTTTAAGTATTTGTTATTGTATTGTTGTATAAGATGCATTGTTAATTTTAAGTTAGATCAACCGTGTTTTTTTAACCTCTATAAAAGCTTTCATGTGGGGGAATGGGGGGTACAAAGAATCAACTTAACCTTTACCCTCGCAAAAGTGTAAACAATACAAAATAGCAAACAAAAAGTGAATAAGTTAAAAAAGCTATTTTACAAGATATAAATTAAATATACTTATGCCAACTCTGATGATAAATATTTGTGACAAAACCAGATCAATGTTATTTACAGTATTATCTCTGTAGAAAAATGCTCTCATGAATTAATATTTTGCATTGGTTAAATGATGTAAATATTATTTCGTAAAATCCCTTTAAAATTTAAAATACAAATAGGACCTGTTTGCCACCCAGCCCTCCCATTTTACCCCGCCTATAGGTGAGAACGACCAGATGTCAATGTTTTGAAAAATTGCAAAAAAAAATTTACGCTGGTGAATTAGTTGGAAGTTTTACTGAATAGAGTCAGATAGTTGTTTGTTTGATGTGTGTTATTTGTTGTGATATAATTCTTTTAGTTTTCCCAATATAATTGCTCAAAGTCAAGTAGGTAAAAAAATTCCCTTCCAACTAATTTTACAATATTGTTAACGAAAAAAATGTATGGTGCGCTATATAATTATACACAATGTCATAAAATAACATTGTAAAGTTGATTGATAAAATGTATATGGCTAATGTACTCGTATACGAAGTCAAAAATTAACAATAAAGAAAAAAGTTTAATTAAACTTTCGTGCCCCGTTGCCCTACCCTATATATTTTATTTAACCTATTATATGGATGGATGTCTGCTAATAAATTTTAAATATATATATATATTATATATATACAGAATATAAATAGATATATATATATATATATATATATATATATATATTATATTATACAGATGGCTTCGTGAGAAAGATGAAGTAATTTTTGTTTGTTTTATATTTGAAAAGGAAAAAATTGATTTTATTACACAACAGTAATGAATTCATTTCGATTACAAAAATGAAGTGTTTTTTAGTTGAACTTCTCTAAGTAAATGAAAGTGAATCCGCAAATTCAGTTTCATTGAAGTGCTCTTTGGTAACCACATTTTTGTTTTTTGGTCTGACGTTAACACAAACAAAGCGGATGGTTTCCCAACTCGTGAACAGGCAACGTATAACTGCCCATGTGAAAAACAATGATTTTCTGAATCTATTTGAAATTTATCCCGCAAACACTAAGCGATTGGCCTTGCGACTTGTTATTGCGAAAGCAAGGCGAACTGGAAATTGCAATTGTTTGAAGTCAAACGGAAGATTCACCAAATCGCCAGCAATTTTTATTGAATGGTGAAAATTAGTGCGTGTACATCATTATTCTTTGCGGCAAGAAGTTGCTCGTTGACTTAACCAAGCATAATTCTGATAATTCTCACTAATGCCATTACTCAAATTTTTAATTACGGTGCGTGAAGTTCCAGCAATTTGCATTAAGGCACATGCCATGCACCACTAAGCTATAAACCGTGCGGAGCCCGAGACCTTCGAATGAATGCAAAATTGTCGAAATCGGTTCGCGCGTTCTGCTGTTATATCGTCAGGAAGGAAAACCCGACTTATTTTTAATATATATGTAGACAGTGGTGTTGTGCTAATATTTTTTATGCCGGAACGCTAGAATTTAAAATCCGGTTCATAAACCGCTTCAAAAAATTGATATATTTCGATAAGAACTCACAAATCTAATATATTGACTTCTTATATAATTAACTCTATTATATACAGCTAGTCTATAAATTAAATTGTACAAGTATGAGGGAATCATTGAGTACATAATTTATATTCTTTAATAACATTAATTATATTTATTGTAATATATTATGATATAAAAGTACTCAAGATTTATTACAATACTTTATAAGACTTAACCTAATAATACGATAGATAACCTATTACCTATCTTACTATACTATATTATTGTATATCATAGGTAGATATCTATTATCAATCATACCGTGAGATACCTACACCGTCATTAACTTATTATATACCTACATACTTTTTACTTCTTATAAATATTACTGTCTAATTTATATATTTACCTATATTATATAGGTTTGCCTTACATCCTATGTATTATCTCTACCTATCTATTGTCTATACCGGGGAATTGAACCCGGGACCTCCGCGTGGAAGTCGCGCACCTTAACCACTACCCTATCGGGTACCCCCATTATAATATAATATGGGACGCACTGTTGTTTCCGCGGGGTCATTTTCTAATTAATTAGGTAATTAATACTAAGGTGGCGCGACGACACGCGAAAAAAGACGGTTGATTGTAGCGTTACGGTGGTGTAGTGGCTAAGGTTGTCGCGTGCCACGCGGCGGACCCGGGTTCGATTCTCGGTAGGGTTAATGTATCGTGTAAGGAAAATTATAGGTAATAGGATATATAGTAGATATAGGTTAGGTGTTATTCGGTATACAATGTAGGGATTTGAGAGTATATGATGAAATATAGCGTATGGTATAGATGTAAGGCGTGTAGTATAGAATGCAACGTACAGGCATACGTAAGGCTATAAAAATACACGAATAGAACCTATGATGTAGGTGTTAGCGTATAAGAAAATGCGAATGAATATAAGATTTAATTTATAAATATTATTTTTTCTATAAGAATTTTTATCTCGTTATTAAATATCTAAAATATCCAAATTATCCGTTAAGGCATCGATTACACCTTACTGCTGCCTTTGCCGT